GGGGGGAATCCACTAACTTTGAGCTGACCCAGACTGATGGTAAACTGAAGGATAGAGAAGAAATGTCCCATCTTGTTCCCTCAGAGTGGTCAGTGGGTTCGAACTTTTCATTGGCCGCCCAATGTATATACAGGGTACCATCAAGTACTTAATGACAATAAATCTAACTCTAACTGATTTCATAAGTAGGTGATAAAAATCAAAGACATCCAAGGTGTAATATACATGAAATAAGTGATTTCTCTGGGTGTTGAAGCAGCAGAAGTAACTTTGTAAAAGATATCTATCAAAATCCCTAAAATTCAAACTCACTGCTGTCTAGTCTGAACTGACTTAAGGCTGGCCTTCCATCAAGTTTCAGAGGTTGTAAATTGCACATAAGGAAAACGCTCATCTTTCTCCTTTGGAGTTATTGGTGGATTCAAACTGCCAGAGAGGCCAAGCTCCCTAAGGCAGCACAACTCCCCTCTCCAGTGGCAGGAGAGCTTAGTCAACTCTTGTGCATATTATGACAAATAAGGTTGTTATTGTGTAGCACTGAGTCAAAACCGACCCATGGGTGACCCTCCAGCGGGTTTTCAGAGGCAGTTAATTGCATGGGAGATTGCCCATCTTTCTCCCATGGAGCAGCTGGTGGATCCAAACTCTTTGGGACAGCAGCACAGCTTCTTGCCACTAGGTCACCACAGCTCCCTTATGTTTGGTGCCAACTAATCAACTATGACTTACACTCCCCCTGTAAATGACCGGATGGAATCTGGCCCTATCTTTTACCATTCTCATGATCTGTCATGCTCAAAACCATTGCTGCAGTCACTCATTTTGAGGGTCTTCCTCTTTCTGACTTTTCCCCTTTCCCACAATCATTTATTTTCCCAAGGACTGGGTCCTTCTGACAATAAGCCCAAATTTGTGAGACCAAGTTTCACCATCTTTGTCTCTAGCAGTCCTTCTTCCAAGACACAGCTGTTTGTTGTTCTAGCAGTCCAAAGTATGTTCAATACTCAGCACTAGAACTTAAGAGGCATCAATCTTTTCTAGGTCTTTCTTACTTTGGTTCAACTCACATATGCATATGAAGCAAATGAAAAATACCAACGCTTGGATCAGAGACACTGTAGTCTTTAAACTGGCATCCTTGCTCTTTAGCATTTTATAGAGGACCCTGATAACCAATTTTCTCAGTGCAACCTATCTTCTGATTTCTTGTCTGCTGCTATCATGGGTGCTGACCGTGGAACCACATGAAATTAAGTTGATGACAACTTTCATCTTTTCTCCATCCATTATGATGTGGCCAATTTGTCAGGTTGTGAGGATTTTGTCTTGATTGAGGTGTCATCCACATTGAAGACTTTTTCAATAAGCACATTAAGGTGTTTTGTTTTTTTTTTCTTCACTTTCTGTAAGCAAGGTTAATGGGTCTTCCTCTGATCCTGATGCCACATTCTTCTTCATATAGTCTAGCTTCTCCAATTATTTGTTCAGCATACAGGTTGAACAGATACGGGAAAATTATAGAACCCTGATGCACAATTTTTAAACCATGTTCTCTTGTTCTGTTTGGACAATGTCTTGGTCTGTTTAATTTTAGCATAAGCATAAGTGTTCAGGATTCCCAATCTTCTCAAATTCCTTTTTATAGGGAGCTCTTGTGGCCCAGTGGCAAGAAACTCCACTGAAATCTTGAAGGTGTACAGTGTGAATCCACCAGATGCTCTGCTTCATTTAGGTCGTCCTTGGTTTTCCAACTTCAGTTCTATGCACATTTCATTATAACATCATGCTTTGTCTTCCTGAGCTACCACATCAATCTTATATTCAGCTCTTTCTTCATTTTTTCCCTTCATTATGACTTCTCTACACCGAAGAAGTTTTAGAGTCTCTTTTGACATTCATTTTACTCTTTTCTTTCTGTCTTTCAAATGATCTTTTCTTTATGGATGATGTTCTTGATGTTATATCACAACTCACGTGATATAACACTACTTTGGTCAGTAGTCTTCAATGCATTAAATGTATTCTTGAGATGGTCTTTATATTCAGGTAATATGAAGATCACCCTTTAGCTTTTGTGAACTTGTTTGATTTTCCTCACCTTCAATTTGAATTTCCGTAGGAACAGATGATCTGTATTCTGCAGTAAGTCCTTGCCCTTGTTTTTGACTCCTGACACAGGTATAGTCAATCTGATTCCTGATCAGATCTTCAGATAAGTATATGTGCACAGTTGCCGTGTGTGTTTAAAGGTATTTGCAATGGATAAATCATTGCCTTGTATAAAATTCTACCATGTGATCTCTGGCCTCATTTCTGTCAAGGTCATCTCTCAGTCCTTCCTCTTTGTTTCCAAGTTATTACTATCTTAACTACATGCTTGACCAATTTCAGACTGCAAAAGTCAGTAGGAATTCTCAATTCCTTCACCTTTGGCTTTTGTGGTTTGTGCATATATCTGAAGAACAGTTGTACTAACAGGTCTTCCTTGTCTTATCACTAACAGCATTGTACTTCAAGATCAATCTTGAAATGTTTTTTTTTTGACAATGAGTGATAATTTGTAAGAATGTTCTTATGTTACTAAAAACATAGACAATTAAGAAGATATATGCCAAAATGGCACACAGGATAATAGTACAAGAATCCAACCCTAAATCCTGCAGCTGATTCTGTTTCATGAAGACCCTCCCCTGGGGTCCTTGTGCTGTAAATCTTAATAAGAGACACCTGCCTTATCTTTCTTTCTCCGTGCAGCTGGTGAATTAAAAATGCTGCTGGCCTTTCAGTTTGCAGCCTAATGCATAGCCTAGAATGCCATCAAGGTAGAAAATAATCAGAACTAATAAAAATAATGTAGTGGACAGTAGCTTGAAAGGCATATACTGGTAAAGTGAGTGTTAAGAAGCTATTTATTTTAGTTGTTAATTTATGCCAGCCTCTCCTTGTACCCAGCTGCCTACCTTGAAAATTAAAACTCTTTTCTTTCTTCATCTCCATTGCTACTGAGTAGATTCTGCCTCATGGTTACTTTGCACCTGGTTCCTATGGCTTTAAATCCTTACAGGAAGAGATGGTTCATCTTTCTCCCATGGAGCAGCTGGTGGATTCAAACTGCTAACCTTTCCTTAGAAGTCCAAAAAGTTATGCACCATACCACATAATGATCCTTTAGTGACAGACAAATCCTCCTGTTCTCTGTTGTAAAAGGCATGATTCCAAGATGGCAGCCAGCTCCTTCAAGACAGGGTGGTCTTCTCCAGCAGGAAGGGAGGAGGGACTAGACAAAATGACCACGATGTGCAGCTGATTCTGTTTCATGAAGACCCTCCCCTGGGATCCTTGTGCTGTAAATCTTATCTGATCTGGTGTCCTTACAGAGGACATTTTAAATACTCTAAAGGTGAGTCTACTAAGATAGTTTTTATAAGACATTCAGAAAGAAATATCCCTTTTCTTCACCAGACATGATCATTGAATAAGGATGACCCTCTTGCAATAGAGAGGGGAGAGAGGAGCTGACGCTCACGTGCTAAAGGATCCCTTTGAGCTTCAGAATCATGCTGCTCAGGAACCTCAAGATTTCCAGATGGCTGGCCTGTGAGAGCTACTATGAGGAACTACTAAGACACTGTGGCAGAAGTGTATCCTAACTCACTTAGAAATAGCATGTCCATAGAAGATGTTCCCTTGGCTTAAGGAGCTTGGGAACACATTCGCAAAGAGGTCTTTCATCTGCTTTCCTGACCAGGAAGCTTTTACTTAAAGCAGCTTTATTAAGGGGGGCTCCGGGGTGAGATTCCTTGAGGAGGGGAAAATCACACCCTAGCCCTAAGGTGGTCTGGGCAGGTTTTTATAGTAAGGGTCTTTTAGGGAGGGAAGGGAAGTGAGTGAGGCTGTTCACGCCCTTTGTTGACATGGTGATATTCTTTGAATCCTTCATTCTCCTCTTTGACCTTGATCTAGGCCTGACATCCCAGCCTCTTTAGTGAGAAAAAGGGCAATGTATCTTCATTCTAGCTTCTCCCTGCTGAACAATCTGGGGCTCAGAGGCTGGACTGGACTGGCTCAGGACCAGTAGCCAGGATGTCATATGGATGTCACAGCAGCTGGTTCAAGTTGGTCATTTCTTTTACTGATTTGATGTCTTGACACCATGAGAGCTGGCTGGTAGGTAGGTTCAAAAGAGAGTGAGGGCACCACATTTGCCCCAAAAGAGAGAAGAGGACGCAACACACCTCGATTCCTCTCCCGGTTTTCGTGCAACAGGATGTTAGGTTTTTGCACGGGATGTAAGGCCAAGGACTCAAGGAAGAAGGTACAAGAGAAAGAAAGCTAAAGCAG